CCCCCCGCCCCCCTTGTTGAAGGCCACCCGGTTAAATTATGGTTGAACATTGTCGATGCTTGAATAATCGAATCAACTGTTTTTACACAGTACCTTACGAAACGTTTTTATTGTAATCTCTACAATATGACCGTAAAAATTGATCGTGATTTTTGGTTTTACTCCGGAGCTCTTGGGATGGCATCCGGAAGGCGCCACGGTGTTCGTCTCACTTTTGTCAACAAACCATTGCGACATGAATGCAATTATTCAAACATGAGGAAGTAGTCGAGCTCTCCGTCTTACTATTTGATGCTAACAGCCCCTTGCCTCTTCGTAGAAACTCGCTGCTTGATGTCATTCCTATTTTTTTGTAATCAGCTAAACAAAAAAAATGCTTTGAATGGCGCAATTGTGTTCGACGATTCCCTCCCCCTGCAAACAAAGTCACAAAATGTGCCCAAACAAGTCCGAGTCGTGGGCGGCCGAGGGCTTTTCTCGCATGACAATGAAACGTGCAATAATCCCCGTGGCATTAACCCCTCCGCTAATCCTCCGTATTTGCCTTCCATGACGGGGCACATCTGTCATCCTCATGAAGCAAAATTGATATCAAATCTAAAATTGATCTCGTCCAGTCAACATATTGATACCCGCACTGAGGATGAATGTTTCGACCGACCCAATTAGCAGTGTGACTTGTCGCAAAGTCCAGCCGATGATTGCGGGAACGATGAAATCGGCCCGCGATGATATCAAATTTCTTCAGTGCAGAATGACGAAAGAATGCATGAAAAAAAAAATACTGAATGCAACAATGATTCGATCGTGGCTTCGATATTTGCGGCGATGATGTTGAATTTCTGAGTGCAGAACGACGAAAGAATGCATGAAAAAAAAAATACTGAATGCAACAATGATTCGATCGTGGCTTCGATATTTGTGGACAAAGCAAGAAAAGCTGACTTCGATCTTTTTTTTTTTTTTGGAGTTTCTACCTTCAGAGAGAGGAAAATGGAAAAATACATGTTGACTGAGACCTGTCATGTTTGCCAATGACGGGATCATGTTTTGACATTCGCGCACTGCGTTGTGTTTACCCTCCAACCACAAATATTAACGACACCTTTCAGTACGGCCTCCCATCCGGTTATAAAATGCCGACGCTACGGCTCTCTTGTTGTGCAGGCGTACCTAATGTGTCGTGTCGGTTTGTGACGATATACATCGGGCGCTGGAACCGCAGATTAGCTCCGAGTCACGAGTCGGAACAACACGGCCTGTGCATGTTCCTGTTTGTCCATTTTCTGCGTGCGCTTTACAAAAGACAGACCTTCCCGTGTGCGTCACGGTCAGGTGTTTACACTCGCCTTGTTTCAACACACAGATCGAGTTCATTCGGTTATAAATGAGCCTTTCGATGTCCTCTCCGAATCACTACACTAAGCCTTTCCTCCTATCCCACGTGCTATTTGTAGCCCGTGACTCTTTTTCTCCAGTGGATTCTTGCTGATGAATTGGAAGTAAATGGGACAGCAGTATTTTTTATTTTTTATTTTTATGTGTCTCGATGTGAGCGTAGCTTGAAGAGCCAGCTGTGAAAGTTGCATTTCCGCTGGGTTTATGTGGTCAAAATTAGCACCTCCCATGTGACTGTGAGAGCGTGTGCGTGCATGTGAATACGACGCCAGGCCGGGGTGTGCTTGTGTTTACATGACAGCCGACCGGGAGGGGAAGTGACGCAGGAGGCAGTCTTAAAGGGAAGGCGGCGGCGGTGGTAGAAAGTTGCAGGGCCTACTCCAGAGAGGAGCGAGAGACAGGACAGGAAGGTGCCAGGACAACGCCGCAAGAGAGAACAATATCGCTGACCGCTTGTTTTGCTGTGACGGTCAAATGCGCAAATGAGTCACTGGCCGCGATTTGATTTTGAAATGTGTTTACCCGCCCGCTCACTACAAAAGTAGTGACACAAGGGTTGTGTTTGTTCAGAGCTTGGCCTGTTCCAATTCCGAGCCAACTTTCCCCGGTTCGCTATTCACGGTGACCTCATCATCTCTCTGGCTGGCGTCCCTGCCGAACTGAAGTCCTCTCGCACTTTCATGGCTGTGAAACTTTCATAAACACAGTCGAGCAATTGACGCTTCACAAATAATTCCCTGACAAACGGCGGTCACTCTTGCAGCGGCAATGACATGAAGAGGCATGATGCATCCTTGCTAAATATTAGTCTCCACGTCCATTAGCTACGATATGGTTGCCCCCCCCCCCCGATTGCAAAACAGACGCAAGTTGTCGTGGATACATTTTACATTCGAGCCACATTCTGGTGCCCAAATCCAAAGACTTGGACCAGGTTTCGTCCAGCGTCAGCATGACCTGTGATTGACATTGTGTAAGCACGCCTTACATGACAGTAAGCCCATTGTGTGTCATTTTTGTCCATGTCCTGCTCGGTAATAATGAATTATGTGTCTAAAGAGGAAGTGGTGTAATGATTACACCCTCATGTGAGCCATGAATGTGGGCAGCCCATGTACGCTGGAGTTATTTTAGTTGATGTTTTGTAAGAAATGATAACTTTATACAGTACAGCATGTCACTTTATGGAGGCTTTGTGGTATGTCTCCTGTGAGGTGTTTTGGATACATTATACCCGGAATGGGCCTGCTCTCAAGAGGCGGATCCAATTCTTGCACAGCCCGCAGGATGGACGGTGACTCGGCAGGCAGACTGGCCCGGCTCCAAGCTGCGCAATGTACAACAGGGGCAGCAGAAAACCCCAGCCGATACACTGAGGAGTTACCGTGACTGACAGAAAAACAAAACGACGGCCCGCCCAACCATCAGGTGTGAAATGAAACAAAAAGTCAATATTTTGTTGTCTGCAGGCGAATTGAAACATAACTCAGAGTCTCTCCGCCCATGACACAGTAAGATCCAGAGCCACTCTCAAAATGAAACCCGATCATGTCACTCACACGGATACTATGCCCAAGTTATGATGTCCAAGCCAAAAGGTAAGCAGAGCTGCACTGTGGTTTGACCGGATGCACACAACAGTAACTGCAAAGCTCTGCAAATTCCCCATCTTGGACTGTCGAGTTGATGCGAAGAGGGAAGTGTGGACGTTAAAGGTTGCGGTGGGGATGCGCCGCGGTCGGAAAAGTGGGGGATAATATTAGAGCAGGGACAGATTGCTTCAGCGCCGCTAAGTAGGCCAAAGGCACAGGGGAGTGTCACATGAACCGGCGGTCCTATGTTAGCTGTTCTCCAGTGTCTTGTTCAGCTCGAGATGGGAAAAGCGACAGAGAGAGACGGAGAGCGAGAGAAGGAAAGAAATTCAGAGAAGGAGAGAAGGCCTCGTATGCGTCATGTTTCCCATGCCATCTGGAGTCTGTACATGACACTCAAAACCACTTGTCGACGAGGGGAAGTGTTTCTTTTCCTTG